CTTTGTTAGTTAGTTAGTTAGTTGTTCTTGTTAGTTCGTTAGTTAGTTTTAGTTGTTAGTTCGTTCGTTAGTTATTTCGTTCGTTAGTTATTTGTTAGTTAGTTCGTTAGTTCGTTCTTGTTTTTTCGTTCGTTAGTTTTTTCTTTTCTTCGTTCGTTTTTAGTCGTTCGTTAGTTCGTTCTTTCGTTCGTTTCGTTTTCGTTCGTTTTCGTTTTCGTTCGTTCGTTTCTTTCGTTCGTTTCGTTCGTTCGTTCGTTCGTTCTTTGTCGTTCGTTCGTTCGTTCGTTCGTTCGTTCGTTCGTTCGTTCGTTAGTTCTTTCGTTCGTTCGTTCGTTCGTTCGTTCGTTCGTTCTTTCGTTCGTTCGTTCGTTCGTTCGTTCGTTCGTTCGTTCGTTCGTTCGTTTCTTCGTTCGTTCGTTCGTTCTTCGTTTCGTTCGTTCGTTCGTTCGTTCGTTCGTTTCGTTCGTTCGTTTCGTTCGTTCGTTCGTTCGTTCGTTCGTTCGTTCGTTCGTTCGTTCGTTTCGTTCGTTAGTTCTTTCGTTCGTTCGTTCGTTCGTTCGTTCGTTCGTTCGTTCGTTCGTTCGTTCGTTTCGTTCGTTCGTTCGTTCGTTCGTTCGTTCGTTCGTTCGTTCGTTCGTTCGTTCGTTCGTTCGTTCGTTCGTTCGTTCGTTCGTTCGTTCTTCGTTCGTTCGTTCGTTCGTTCGTTCGTTTCGTTCGTTCGTTCGTTCGTTCGTTCGTTCGTTCGTTCGTTCGTTCGTTCGTTCGTTCGTTCGTTCGTTCGTTCGTTCGTTCGTTCGTTCGTTCGTTCGTTCGTTTCGTTCGTTCGTTCGTTCGTTCGTTCGTTCGTTCGTTCGTTCGTTCGTTCGTTCGTTCGTTTCGTTTCGTTCGTTCGTTAGTTCGGTCGTTCGTTCGTTCGTTCGTTCGTTCGTTCGTTCGTTCGTTCGTTCGTTCGTTCGTCGTTCGTTCGTTCTCGTTCAGTTCGTTCGTTACGTTCGTTCGTTCGTTCGTTCGTTCGTTCGTTCGTTCGTTCGTTCGTTCGTTCGTTTCGTTGTTCGTTCGTTCTTCGTTTCGTTCGTTCTTTCGTTCGTTCGTTCGTTCGTTCGTTCTTCGTTCGTTTCGTTCTTTCGTTCGTTCGTTCCGTTCGTTCGTTCGTTCGTTCGTTCGTTCGTTCGTTCGTTCGTTTTCGTTCGTTCGTTCGTTCGTTCGTTTCGTTTTCGTTCGTTTCGTTCGTTCGTTCGTTCGTTTCGTTCGTTCGTTCGTTCGTTAGTTCGTTCGTTTAGTTAGTTCCCAATTTGTCACCAAAATCTTTTTAAATGTATGAAATTAGCAGAGATGAAGAACATAACATCTAGTTTGGCCGTTACAGCATCATTATCATCTGAACCATTGGCTAGAGGTCCAGCGGAATAGAACTGTATTATAAACAATAACACAAAATATTAATAATGAGTTTAAACTCCCCCATTATTACTGATGTTTAAATAACATTTTCTGAAAAGTTACTGCATGAATCAGGTTGAAGATTTATATTAATTAATACATTTTGTATATAATATAAAATGTTACATTTAAATGAATGGAATAGATAAATTTCTATACAATATTGTATTTAATAGGAAAACAAATTAATTGCGACAAAAACCCGGCAAATTATTTACTGATCTTGAAAAGATATTAAAGTTTTTAACGCTGTAATTAAGTGAAATTAAATAATTTGCTTATTTCACAATTCTATAATTTACCAACAAAACAGGTTAAGTCTAACTTTTTCCATTCACTTAAATTGCTTTGAAAAAGTTATCTCTGATTAAGCTATAGAAAAAGTGTCTCTAATTAAGAGACTGTTTTTTATAAAAAAAGCGTATCAAATAAATAGACTTCTTTTCTCTAATTAACAAACTTTTCTATAGAAATATTGTCTCTCATTAGGAGAGTTTTTCTATAGAAAAGGTGTCTCTCATTAAGAGACTTTTTCTATAGAAAAAGTGTGTCTCATTAAGAGAGATTTTCTATAGAGAAAGTGTGTCTCATTGAGAGAATTTTTCTATAGAACAACTGTCTCTCATTAAGAGAGTTTTTCTATAGAAAAAGTGTGTCTCATTGAGAGAATTTTTCCATAGAAAAAGTGTGTCTCATTGAGAGAATTTTTCTATAGAAAATGTGTCTCTCATTGAGAGAGTTGTTTTATAGAAATAGAGTCTCGCATTGAGAGAGTTTTTTTATAGAAAAAGAGTCTCGCATTGAGTAAAACTTTCTCCCTATCTTTATGAGAGACAACTTTTTATAGAAAAATTCTCTTTGTGAGAGACACTTTTTCTATAGCAAATGTCTCTTAATCAGACACACTTTTTCTACAGAAAAAGTCTCTTAATGAGAGACAAATTTTCTATAGAAAAACTGGCTTTATGAGACACACTTTTTCTATAGAAAAGTCTCTTTATGAGAGACACTTTTTCTATAGAAAAAGTCTCTTTAAGAGAGACACTCTTTCTACAAAAAATGTCTCTTTATAAGAGACACTTTATCTATAGAAAAAGTCTTTCAATGAGAGACAGCTTTTCTATTCAAAAAGTCTCTTAATGAGAGACACTTTTTCTATAGAAAAAATCTTTTAATGAGAGACGCTTTTTCCGTAGAAAAAGTCTCTTTATGAGACACACTTTTTCTATAGAAGAAGTCTCTTTATGAGACACACTTTTTCTATAGAAAAAGTCTCTTTATGAGACACACTTTTTCTATAGAAAAAGTCTCTTTATGAGACGCACTTTTTCTATAGAAAAAGTCTCTTTATGAGACGCACTTTTTCTATAGAAAAAGTCTCTTTATGAGACGCACTTTTTCTATAGAAAAAGTCTCTTTATGAGACACACTTTTTCTATAGAAGAAGTCTCTTTATGAGAGACACTTTTTCTATAGAAAATGTCTCTATATGAGACACACTTTTCCTATAGAAAAAGTCTCTTTATGAGACACACTTTTCCTATAGAAAAAGTCTCTTTATGAGACACACTTTTCCTATAGAAAAAGTCTCTTTATGAGACACACTTTTCCTATAGAAAAAGTCTCTTTATGAGACACACTTTTTCTATAGAAAAAGTCTCTTAATGAGAGACACTTTTTCTATAGAAAAAGTCTCCTAATGAGAGACACTTTATCTAAAGAAGAAGTCTTTTAATGAGAGACACTTTTTCTATAGAAAAAGTCTCTTTATGAGACACACTTTTTCTATAAAAAAGGTCTCTTTATGAGACACACTTTTTCTATAGAAAAAGTCTCTTTATGAGACACACTTTTTCTATAGAAAAAGTCTCTTTATGAGACACACTTTTTCTATAGAAAAAGTATCTTTATGAGACACACTGTTTCTATAGAAAAAGTCACTTTATGAGAGACGCTTTTTCTATAGAAAAAGTATCTTTATGAGAGATACTTTTTCTATAGAAAAAGTCTCTTTATGAGAGACACTTTTTCTACAGAAAAAGTCTTTCTTATAGAAAAACTTTTTCTAAGAAATACACTTGTTCTTTTGAAAAATCCCTTTTAATGAGAAACTTTTTCTGTAGAAAAAGTATTTTATTTAGAGACACTTTTTGCACATAAATTGTCTATTTACTGGAGAGAGTTTTTCTATGGAAAAAAGATCTTAAACAAAGACACTTCAGCATTGGCCCGATTTAAGTGATATATTCAGTATTATTGTTCATATTTCAGGATCTTAAATGAACATTTAATTGACAGTTTAGTTTAAGATAAATAACGTATTATTAAATTTCAGTTAATTACAGAGTTAGACATTTGTATATCATTTTAAAATCAGCAAATAGTTTTTTTAATTTCTTATATATAGTTTTTTTAATATACATATATACATATCGTAGTGCCCAGTTTCCAGCAGTAACTGTTTTTTACGTCAACCATAATGTCAGTTTATAAAATATTTGATATTTTTACGGTCTTGTTCTTAATACAGGTTAGTTAACATAAAACTAAAATAGTTTATTATTAATAAATATTTAAAAAAATATATTTACAGACCTGCTACACTAAACCTATTGACGAGAATAGAAGTTTAGCATCTAAACGAAACCTGCGGGACTACACTATTAAACACTTCTCAGGTTTAACTGTAAAATGTATGTATGAATATGCTGACATTACTCTAAAGCTGCTAGCTGATAAATCTTTAGATTTGCATGATGAATCAGAAATTTTACAATTTAAACAAAATGCCACCAAATTTATAGAAGAGTTTAGTTTTACTAATATCGATTATTTGGAAGGTGTTGTATATTATTTGGAACTTACTGAGGAACAATTAACACCGGAATCCAAATTTATAGTTGAACTTTTGGAAAAATACAAATATCGAGAATTAAGAGAGGATTTAATAAAGGAAACTCAAAATCTTATTGCTGATTTCAAAACGAAATTTGAAGAAGTTAAAATACATTTAGGTCCAGACGATCCTTTGTTAGAGTGGTATGGAGAATTTTTAAGCTCAGAAGACCAACAAGTTATGGCTATCGAAAAATTTTTACAGTTGACCGAATATTAGGAATTTTTGAGAATATTTTTAAAAAATAATAAAATTTAAAATTCTTGGCATGAAAGTGTTTGATATTTGTATTCATTTTTATTCAATAGAAAAAGTTTCTTAATCGGAAACATTTTTTTTATAGAAAAAGTCTTTTTAGGGGAAACACTTTTTTTAAAGAAAATGAAAGACACTTTTTCTATAGAAAAAATCTTTTTATGATCGACAAATTTTCTATAGAAATTATCTCTTTATGAGAGACACTTTTTCTATAGAACAATTCTCTTTATGAGAGACACTTTTTCTATAGAAAACGTCTCTTTATGATAGACACTTTTTCTATAGAAAAAGCCTCTTTATGAGAGACAATTTTTCTATAGAAAAAGTCTCTTTATGAGAGACACTTTTTCTATAAAAAAATCTCTTTATGACTCTTTTTCTATAGAAAAAAATCTCTTTATGAGAGACACTTTTCTATAAAAAAAATTTCTTTTTGAGAGACACTTTTTCTATAGAAAAAGTCCCTTTATGACAGACACTTTTTCTATAGAAAAAGTCTCTTTATGAGAGACATTTTTTCAATAGAAAAAGTGACTTTGAGACAGATACGTTCGATATAGAAAAAGTTTTTATATGAGAGTTACATTTCCTATAGAAAAGCTTCTTAATGAGAGACACTTTTTCTATAGAAAAAGTCTCTTTATGAGAGACACTTTTTCTCTTTATGAGAGACACTTTTTCTATAGAAAAAGTCTCTTTATGAGAGACACTTTTTCTATAGAAAAAGTCTCTTTATGAGAGACACTTTTTCTATAGAAAAAGTCTCTTTATGAGAGACACTTTTTCTATAGAAAAAGTCTCTTTATGAGAGACACTTTTTCTATAGAAAAAGTCTCTTTATGAGAGACACTTTTTCTATAGAAAAAGTCTCTTTATGAGAGACTCTTTTTCTATAGAAAAAGTCTCTTTATGAGAGACACTTTTTCTATAGAAAAAGTCTCTTTATGAGAGACACTTTTTCTATAGAAAAAGTCTCTTTATGAGAGACACTTTTTCTATAGAAAAAGTCTCTTTATGAGAGACACTTTTTCTATAGAAAAAGTCTCTTTATGAGAGACACTTTTTCTATAGAAAAAGTCTCTTTATGAGAGACACTTTTTCTATAGAAAAAGTCTCTTTATGAGAGACACTTTTCTATAGACAAAGTCTTTTTATGAGTGACACGTTTCCTTTAGAAAAAGTCTCTATATGAGAGACAATTTTTCTATAGAAAAAATCTCTTTATGAGAGACACTTTTCTATAGAAAAACTCTATTTTTGAGAGACACTTTTCTATAGAAAAAGTCTCTTTATGAGAGACACTTATGCTATGGAAAAAGTCTCTTTATGAGAGACACTAATTCTATAGAAAAAGTCTCTTTATGAGAGACACTTTTTTTTACAGAAAAAGTCTCTTGATGAGAGACACTTTTGCTTTAGAAAAAGTCTCTTGATGAGAGACACTTTTGCTATAGAAAAAGTCTCTTGATGAGAGACAATTTTTCTATAGAAAAACTGTCTTTATAAGAGACACTTTTTATATAGAAAAGCAGTCTTTAAGAGAAAAACTTTTTCTATAGAAAAACTATCTTTATGAGGGACACTTTTCTATAAAAAAAACTGACTTTAAGATAGTTACATTTGCTATAGTGAGAGCCACTTTTTCCATAGAAAAAAGCTCTGTATGAGGGCGTCTTTTAGAAAAAGTGTCTTAATTAGAAATAGCTAATGATTACAGCAAATTAGTTGTTATCTGTACAGTTCTGTTGAAAACTAACAACTACATATTTGAGAATCATGAAACTGATAACCTTCTAATTACCATAGAAATATTATAATATTTTGTTATTATTAATTGGTTAGTCAATCTGTAGACATCAATAAAAATGTTTAAGACTAAATTATTATATTTATTGGTATTAAGTTTTGCTCTCAAAGTAAGTAACTGAATAATTTTTTAAACTAAGTCTTTTCTTTAATGGAAAAACATATTTCAGAACATTTTAGCTCAACCCGATAGTGCCCATGTCGATGAGGAACCTTCTCCTCAGACTCCCAAACAACATTTGTTTATGTTTAGTGTGGAGGGTTTCAAAAATTTGACTTCATTCTATGTTAATAAAGCTGCCAATATTAGTGATAAAGTGTTAAAGGATGCCACCTTTAATGATGCAGCAAATGGTCATATTGTGCTGCAGAAATTTAAACAAAATTTAACGGATTTTCTAAATCGATATCAGAAACATCAAGAATTTGAAGAATTATTTGAATTGGTAGAATTATATTCAAATACCACCTCGGATTATTATGAAATGACAAGGGAACAGTTGAACCCGGATATGGAGATGATAGTTAATGTTTTAAGAAAGTACGGTTCCGAAAAATTGGATCAAGATTTTAAAGTTATGTATGAACAATTTGTTGAAGATTTTAAGGTAGAATTTCGGAAAGTTGAAATGTATTTAGACAAGAATATGTTGGATTGGTTTGAACAATTTAAGACTATACAAGAGATGAATGCTAGAACAGAGGCTTTCGAGAAATTTATTATGTTTTATTTGTAGATTTCTTTTAATGTTAAAATAAACTAAATGGATACAGAAATTTCTATGATTTTTATTACGGGAGAGGTCGGGGTTTGGAAATTTTAAACTCCCATAAATATTGCAGCAGTTTTTTAAATAATGCAATTTTTTTTGTTTGTTTTGATGATAAATACAATTCAGAATATTTCTGATAATATGATGACCCATCCAGAGTTATAAACGTTTTGTATATGGGGAATTTCGTGTCAAGTGATAGTAGGCCAGGCAGTGATAGTTGTTATATATACATACATATATCCCACTCGCATCCCACTTCCGTTTTAAAAAAAATTAAATTATTAAAAAAAAAATTTTTTTGGAAAGAATGAAGATAATGGAGTTCAGGTAGAACTCCTTTGAACAATTTTTGCTAGGACCAATAGGTGAGAAGTTGCACTCATTTGTATGAAACCCTGTATGACCAGAATTTCCAACTTTGACCCCCTATAAGTCCGACAGTCCTTGACCGATAGAGCTGAAAATTAGTTGGTCCTTACTGCAAATTTCGTCAAAATCGATTTTTAGAGTTGGGCCAATTGACATGAAATTCCCCATATGTATGTATTCTTGATTCTTTTAGATAGCGGAGGACTGTCTTCTGTGTTGTCTGTAGTTAGTTAGTTAGTTAGTTAGTTAGCTAGTTAGTTAGTTAGTTAGTTAGTAGTTAGTTAGTTAGTTAGTTAGTTAGTAGCTTTTAGTTAGTTAGGTTAGTACGTTAGTTAGTAGTTAGTTATAGTTAGTTAGTTAGTTAGTTAGTTAGGTTTTATAGTTAGTTAGTTAGTTAGTTAGTAGTTAGTTAGTTAGTAGTTAGTTAGTTAGTTAGTTAGTTAGTTAGTTAGTTAGTTAGTTAGTAGTTAGTTAGTTAGTTGTTAGTAGTTAGTTAGTTAGTTAGTTAGTTAGTAGTTAGTTATTAGTTAGTTAGTTAGTAGTTAGTTAGTTAGTTAGTTAGTTAGTTAGTTAGTTAGTTAGTTAGTTAGTTAGTTAGTTAGTAGTTAGTTAGTTAGTTAGTAGTTAGTAGTTAGTAGTTAGTTAGTTAGTTAGTTAGTTAGTTAGTTAGTTAGTTAGTTAGTAGTAGTTAGTTAGTAGTAGTTAGTTAGTAGTTAGTTAGTTAGTTAGTTAGCTTAGTTAGTTAGTTAGTTAGTTAGTTAGTTAGTTAGTTAGTAGTAGTTAGTTAGTTAGTTAGTTAGTTAGTTAGTTAGTTAGTTAGTTAGTTAGTTAGTTAGTTAGTTAGTTAGTTAGTTAGTTAGTTAGTTAGTTAGTTAGTTAGTTAGTTAGTTAGTTAGTTAGTTAGTTAGTTAGTTAGTTAGTTAGTTAGTTAGTTAGTTAGTTAGTTAGTTAGTTAGTTAGTTAGTTAGTTAGTTAGTTAGTTAGTTAGTTAGTTAGTTAGTTAGTTAGTTAGTTAGTAGTTAGTTAGTTAGTTAGTTAGTTAGTTAGTTAGTTAGTTAGTTAGTTAGTTAGTTAGTTAGTTAGTTAGTTAGTTAGTTAGTTAGTAGTTAGTTAGTTAGTTAGTTAGTTAGTAGTTAGTTAGTAGTTAGTAGTTAGTTAGTTAGTTAGTTAGTTAGTTAGTTAGTTAGTTAGTTAGTTAGTTAGTTAGTTAGTTAGTTAGTTAGTTAGTTAGTTAGTTAGTTAGTTAGTTAGTTAGTTAGTTAGTTAGTTAGTTAGTTAGTTAGTTAGTTAGTTAGTTAGTTAGTTAGTTAGTTAGTTAGTTAGTTAGTTAGTTAGTAGTTAGTTAGTTAGTTAGTTAGTTAGTTAGTTAGTTAGTTAGTTAGTTAGTTAGTTAGTTAGTTAGTTAGTTAGTTAGTTAGTTAGTTAGTTAGTTAGTAGTTAGTTAGTTAGTTAGTTAGTTAGTTAGTTAGTTAGTTAGTAGTTAGTAGTTAGTTAGTTAGTAGTTAGTTAGTTAGTTAGTTAGTTAGTAGTTAGTTAGTTAGTTAGTTAGTTAGTTAGTTAGTTAGTTAGTTAGTTAGTTAGTAGTTAGTTAGTTAGTTAGTAGTTAGTAGTTAGTTAGTTAGTTAGTTAGTTAGTTAGTTAGTTAGTTAGTTAGTTAGTTAGTTAGTTAGTAGTTAGTTAGTTAGTAGTTAGTTAGTTAGTAGTTAGTTAGTTAGTTAGTTAGTTAGTTAGTTAGTTAGTTAGTTAGTTAGTTAGTTTAGTTAGTTAGTTAGTTAGTTCGTTAGTTAGTTAGTTAGTTAGTTAGTTAGTAGTTAGTTAGTTAGTTAGTTAGTTAGTTAGTTAGTTAGTTAGTAGTAGTTAGTTAGTTAGTTAGTTAGTGTTAGTTAGTTAGTTAGTTAGTTAGTTAGTTAGTTAGTTAGTTAGTTAGTTAGTTAGTTAGTTAGTTAGTTAGTTAGTTAGTAGTTAGTTAGTTAGTTAGTTAGTTAGTTAGTTAGTTAGTTAGTTAGTTAGTTAGTAGTTAGTTAGTTAGTTAGTAGTTAGTTAGTTAGTTAGTTAGTTAGTTAGTTAGTTAGTTAGTTAGTTAGTTAGTTAGTTAGTTAGTTAGTTAGTTAGTAGTTAGTTAGTTAGTTAGTTAGTTAGTTAGTTAGTTAGTTAGTTAGTTAGTTAGTTAGTTAGTTAGTTAGTTAGTTAGTTAGTTAGTTAGTTAGTTAGTTAGTTAGTTAGTTAGTTAGTTAGTTAGTAGTTAGTTAGTTAGTTAGTTAGTTAGTTAGTTAGTTAGTTAGTTAGTTAGTTAGTTAGTTAGTTAGTTAGTAGTTAGTTAGTTAGTTAGTTAGTTAGTTAGTTAGTTAGTTAGTTAGTTAGTTAGTTAGTTAGTAGTTAGTTAGTTAGTTAGTTAGTTAGTTAGTTAGTAGTTAGTTAGTTAGTTAGTTAGTTAGTAGTTAGTTAGTTAGTTAGTTAGTTAGTTAGTTAGTTAGTTAGTTAGTTAGTTAGTTAGTTAGTAGTTAGTTAGTAGTTAGTTAGTTAGTTGTAGTTAGTTAGTTAGTTAGTTAGTTAGTAGTTAGTTAGTTAGTTAGTTAGTTAGTTAGTTAGTTAGTTAGTTAGTTAGTTAGTTAGTAGTTAGTTAGTTAGTTAGTTAGTAGTTAGTAGTTAGTAGTTAGTTAGTTAGTTAGTAGTAGTTAGTTAGTAGTTAGTTAGTTAGTTAGTTAGTTAGTTAGTTAGTTAGTTAGTTAGTTAGTTAGTTAGTTAGTTAGTTAGTTAGTTAGTTAGTTAGTAGTTAGTTAGTTAGTTAGTAGTTAGTTAGTTAGTTAGTTAGTTAGTTAGTTAGTTGTAGTTAGTTAGTAGTTAGTTAGTTAGTTAGTTAGTAGTTAGTTAGTTAGTTAGTTAGTTAGTTAGTAGTTAGTTAGTTAGTTAGTTAGTTAGTTAGTTAGTTAGTTAGTTAGTTAGTTAGTTAGTTAGTTAGTTAGTTAGTTAGTTAGTTAGTAGTAGTTAGTTAGTTAGTTAGTTAGTAGTTAGTTAGTTAGTTAGTTAGTAGTTAGTTAGTTAGTTAGTTAGTTAGTTAGTTAGTAGTTAGTTAGTTAGTTAGTTAGTTAGTTAGTTAGGGACGCAATTTACGGTAACGTACCGATTTTTCTGGTTCTGGAAATTATCGATTAATCTCGTATTGCAAAATATAACGGTCTAAGTTTTATCAACATTATCATAGAATGAATTTCTGGACATTGAATGACTAACAAACCTTTTTAACTGTATGCCTAATTCAAATATATTTATTATATTTTAATGTTTTTGTTTTTTTATTTCGGGGGCGAAAAGTTTAATCTCACTTTAATATAATGATGAAATTTATTTGTTGTATAAATACTATAAAAATTTTGAATATTTTTGATAATATGATGGATAACCTCTCCAGAGTTATAAATGTTTAACAAAATATGTGGAATAAAATTTTGTATAAAAAAGAGACAATTTACAAGTTCTTCATCAGTAGCTAGTTCGGCAGTCTTCAATTCAACAACTCAAAAATGTCCAAGATTTGCGCTATTTTTATGGTCTTGTTCCTGGCCCAAGTAAGTTTAAAAACATTAACATCCTTATGAGGATAATAAATTAATAATTCAATATATATTTTTTGGTTTATAGGCTGCCTTGGGTAAACCTGCAGACTCTTCCGTTGAACAGGAATTAACCCCCAAACAAGAACTGGCCGGATATATCGGTATTAGTCTCTTTGCTTTGATTCAAGAATATTCCGAAAAATGCATTAAAATAAGCCGTGAGATCCTTAAGGATGATGACTTTAAGGTCCGCCCGGAGCCCATGATTGTAGAATTCAAAGAAAAGTTAAACAAGTTTGTCGATGCTTATGAAACCTCCACTGATATGGAGAAAAAAATCGATACCCTTGACATGTTCTCCAACATTATCGATTTCTATTATGAAATTCCTGAGGATAAATATACTCCCGAATCTAAGTACATTGTAGATATTTGGACAAATACCACTACAAGAACATTGAAGTTGAGATGGAGAAAGAATTCTCTCCCTTCGTCGAGAAGGTTATGAAGATTTTCGAAGAAAACAAGAGCGTTTTGGATAAGCCTACTTTAGCCTGGTTCGAAAAGTACGAACACATTACCGATTTTGGGGAAAAACTTAATGCCTTTACTGCATTGCTTGAGATGCTTACCGAACAATAAAAAGCTATACAGTTTGAAAAGTTTACTGCTTTGCTTGAAATGGTCTCTGATAACTAAACAGAACTTTGTTTGGAAGGAATTGTTGTTGATAATAAATAAATAATTAAATAAATAAATAAAACAAAAAATATTTTGTTTTCACGATGTAATATTGGCGTAAAAATAATGAAGTATATTCTAGACTTGATTATAGACTAGACTACACTATAGGATAGATTATTGACTACACCATTGAGTAGATCATTTATTAGACTATAGACTTTACTATAGAATAGACTAGTCTAGTCACTAGACTATAGACTAGAACTACTAGACTATAGACTATAGACTAGACTATAGACTAGACTATAGACTAGACTAGACTAGACTATAGACTAGACATAGACTAGACTAGACTAGACTAGACTATAGACTGACTATAGACTAGACTATAGACTAGACTATAGACTAGACTATAGACTAGACTATAGACTAGACTATAGACTAGACTATAGACTAGACTATAGACTAGACTATAGACTAGACTATAGACTAGACTAT